TGTGAATATCTGTTCAAATGTAATTTTTTGCTGCAATCAACGCGGAATTTTCAGAATCGTTACTCTGCACCAGAAACATTTCTGAAGGTCACCATTTATTTGAAATAAATCTTTTGTAGCATAAAAATGTCTACTTTGATCAATTTAAATCATCACTGCTGAATAAAAGCATTACTTTCTTTAAAAAAAAAAAAAAAAATCTTACTGACCCCAGACTTTTGAATGGTAGTGTATTTAGCAAAACAATTCATTTAATTGCATTTCTAAATGTCAAAGGAGTAAGATGCTTTTTACAGGCAGATACTGCAATTCTGACATCTGACCAACAGGTGCTAGCTGGACTGTGCTAGTTAGCAAAACATCCTCACGCAGTTAACCTTAAAGTAAAGAGTTTCCACAATGGGTTGGTTAACATCTCTTTGGAGGAGTTCGCAAAATGGCTATCCTTCAAAAGATATACAAACACAATAAACACAAATGTTTATTATACATGGCACATTAAAAACAATAGCAAACCTAAAGATAGTTTAGTGATATGAAGTTCCAAATGTAGGTTCAGGAGGAACCTAATCATTCAGTCCTGTCAATCATCATTACGAGCCTATATAAGTAGCAGTCATTGCGCCGTTCCAGCGACAATTCTTCCAGCATCCCTCCACCTCCCCATCTCCTCCTTTAGTTCTGTTATTCAACTTCTATGTAGTATCACATTTGGGGGATTGAACTCGGAGCTCAAGCCGAGCCTCGGGCTTGAACCTCTGTTGTTTTTTACCATTACCCTTCAGGTCTGGATGGACAGGTGAACTCATGAAATTGAAATAAAGTGTGATCATTCAGACAGTATATGGGCACAAACACACTCAAGCAAAGAGAACATATGAGTCACAAATGTCTTTAAAGAGTTGTGGTTTCATAATTCTTTAGGACGTCACAAAGATATGACTTGACACTAACAACATGAAACCTGTCACGCCCCTGTACTCTATCTGTGTGTTACTCCGCCCACTGCACCGCGGCTGAGGGTGAGCTAATTGTGCATCTGGGACTGCTGGACGTAGAGGGGGACCTGATAAACTGGGAAACTGATTTGCCTCCTCTCCTCTCTCCTTCATCTCCTGTTCCCACGTCCAGCCCAGAGTGGGCTCCCATTTCGCAGTCCAGCAGAGAGAGAGACTCAGTCCCCGAGTCCAGCCAGGAGTGGGCTTTGATCCTGGAGGGCAGCCCTGAGAGCCTGGAGGCTCACAAATGCTCCCGCCCTCCCACCCACTATCAGCACGGTGCGAGCTCTGCAGGACTGCCATCCTCCAGCATCGCCATGGCTGGAGTATTCCTTGACTCCGCCTCCAGCCTCTAAGGCCCGGACTCTGCCTCGGCCTGTGGACCCGTCAGCTCCATTATGGCTCCTAGCTCCCTCTTCTTCGCCATGGCCCGGCAGTCCACTAGCTCCGCCGGGCTCCCTCGTCCCTCCGGCTCCGCCTTGGTCTGGCGTCGACCATCCTGCGCCTCGGGACTATGTAGTATCACATTTGGGGGATTGAACTCGGAGCTCAAGCCGAGCCTCGGGCTTGAACCTCTGTTGTTTTTTACCATTACCCTTCAGGTCTGGATGGACAGGTGAACTCATGAAATTGAAATAAAGTGTGATCATTCAGACAGTATATGGGCACAAACACACTCAAGCAAAGAGAACATATGAGTCACAAATGTCTTTAAAGAGTTGTGGTTTCATAATTCTTTAGGACGTCACAAAGATATGACTTGACACTAACAACATGAAACCTGTCACGCCCCTGTACTCTATCTGTGTGTTTTTCCCCTCCATGTGCCTGCCCTGACCTAGTTTCTCCCTCATGTTAATTGTTTATTGCTCCCAGGTGTGTCTCGTCATCCCCTCGTCAAGTCATGTGTATTTAAAGTGAGTCCTGTTCAGAGTTTCTTTGTCCGGTATTGAATGTTCGTCTTTCCCCGCTACGTGTGTGTTCCTAGTTCCATTGGATGTTAATTAAAGTCTGTTTCTTTGAAGTTTACTCCACATCTCCTCGTTTCTCGCTCCGTGCTCCTCACAGTAAGTAGCCGGGCTGAGTGGTCTCCCGTTTCCCAGTCCAGCAGAGAGAGAGTTCCTCCTCCATGGCTCCTCCCTCCGTCGGCTCCACTGTGGGCCGCCATCATGGCTGTGGCCTGGGTCCTGCTTGGCCCCTCCTACTCCAAATCCTTCCTGTCGCCTCCCTGGCTCCTTCCTCTATCGTCACCTCCCTGGACTCTGTCTGCCGGCCCCTTCCCGGGTGTCCGTCCTCCCCCCAAGTTCCCCCCCGTGCCCCCCCCCCCTCTGTTGTTCTACGGCGCGAGGACGCGCCTTCCGGGAGGGCGGCGATATGTTACGCCCTGGACTCTATCTCTGTGTTTTTCCCCTTCATGTGCCTGCCCTGACCTAGTTTCTCCCTCATGTTAATTGTTTATTGCTCCAGGTGTGTCTTCGTTATCCCCTTGTCAAGTCCTGTGTATTTAAAGTGAGTCCTGTTCGGAGTTTCTTCATCCGGTATTGAATGTTCGTCTACGTGTGTGTCCCTAGTTCCATTGGATGTTAATTAAAGTCTGTTTGTTTGAAGTCTACTCCACGTCTCCTCGTTCCTCGCTCCGTGCTCCTCACAGTAGCGGATTGTGACAAAACCAGTGGCTGAAGTATTAAAGGCGGTGTGTGTGTCTGTGTCTGCATAAATCTGTCAAGACAGAAACGCCTGTGACCTTGAGCTGCGCCGCAAACACGTTACATGATGTTATTTACTGGAGCGCTCAAGGCATCTGCTTTCCAGCCGTTCTCATCTACTGCCTCACCGAGTGATGTATAAAACATGCATTACTTTTACATCGTGCATAATATGCAGATTTTTGTATTTATGGAATGCCTGTGTATCCCTGGGTGGAATATGATATTCCACAATGCAATGGGCTCCACTCAACCTTTCATTTTCAGTATAAAACATGAAACCAGTATCAGATGACTAATCTCTTTAATTGTCAAACCCCCCCCACCCCACAAATTTGTAATAATGCAAAACACTGTTTCTTTTTTAGCTTTACATGACAAAAATAGACTTGAGTCCAAATAATGGCAGTGAATGGTGATGTTCTCTTAAAGGCAGGACATTAAAAAAAAAAAAAATCTCCCTTTGTTTTAGAAAAAGGCTAGTGAGTAAATAAGGATTTTAATTTTTGGGTGAACCATCAATTTAAGTTCCCCAACAATCACTGTGAAGAGCAAAAGAGTCAGCAGTTGGCCAGCATTCTGTTTAATATTTGTCAAAGCTTGTATTAAATTTAAATTGTTCCCAATTACATTTCTGAAAAATAATAATAATAAATAAAAGTTAAAAATAAGAGTTTAGTTAAATGTCACACTGCAAACTCCTCTTTGAGATGCTTGCCTGCGAGCACAGGTTCACCTTTTACTAGTCTGCTGGCGTGTGAAGTCACTGGCTGCAGATATTTGTTTTTCAGTTGTTGTTGTGGTGTGGGAGTTTGCAGTAAGTCTTTGAAAGTTGCAACCTCAGGCTCCTGAACATCTATTTGCACTCACACATGTGAATGAAATAAGCACACACCGACATGATTTTGGTATTTCTTGTTCAAAAGAAATGTCTTAAGAGCCAAATTTGTTGAAACTCTTGTTGAACCACTTTATTTGTTAGTAGTTTTTTGTATTCCCAAATTATTTTGTGAAATGTAATTAGAATTCCTTCTGAAAATTAGCTTTGATTTGATGAGAAAAAAGGTTTTGCATTATCACTGACACAGTCTGAAAGTATAGCATTTTATATCAGATTTGGTTTAAGTTTTTCATTTTTCAAAGATGTGTCACATGACTAAAGGTCAGGTTTAGCCAGAAGGGCTTCTCCACATAATCCAGTGCTGATGATGCTTTTTCAAATCTATTGTTATTTCCTATTATTGCTGTCCCTTTTATTAACCAGTATCAAATGACTTCAATTCATTATTGTCAAGATTTTAGAAAGGCTGTATAACCTACAACAGCAACCTAAACCAATGTCTAAATAGATATTTGGCTGTTGGGTAACAATAACGCTAACACTATTTCACAGTGTCATTGCATGCACTTACTATAGTAATGAATGAGTAAATTGTGCCTACAACAGCAACCTAAACCAATGTCTAAATAGATATTTGGCTGTTGGGTAACAATAACGCTAACACTATTTCACAGTGTCATTGCATGCACTTACTATAGTAATTTAAAGTAGAAATTTAAAGTAACTACTAACCTTAAACCAAACCCTAACTCTACAGTAAGTACATGTTGTTAATTAATATTACTTATATATAACAAGGACACATTTTAACACATTTTCCCCTTTGAATAACATTAATGCATAAGACCAGAGACATTTATTAATAGGGTCAGTTTCATGAATGTCTATGCTCTGCATTATTCAGCATCACTCAAATGCTATATGAAGCTTGTCTTCTTCTGTCCTCGGTTCTCATCTCTCTGTATGTCTCTCAATCAACTCTATGAGCGTTCTGAGGCCTCATAAACCCATACGAAGTGCAATATGGGATGCAATCAACGTCTAATCACTTCAGCATGCAGATGAGCTCAGCGCAGCCTCATAGTGTCACATTTCAGGGACCTTGGCCTTCATTTGTCTTACGAGGAAACAATTCCAGATGAGAGGAGGACATGAATGTCAGGTGTGACTCACTCCTCAGGAGACAGCGATAATGTCAACTCTTCTCAGACGAATGGATCTGCTCTTTGCACACCAGGTTTCAATATTGTAAACATCAGATGAGAAATGTGAGAGCAATAAAGAACGCCATTAACTTCAGCTGCGACACTTCAATTACGAGTGACAACTGCCGAAATGTTCACGCATCCTTATAAATGACAAAAACACCGATTTAGGCCGATCCCAAGATCTAATTTAGACAAAGTTCTTCAGCTAAAATGATCATGTATTGAATGTGAAGGCATGTGTGGAATAGCTGGCAATCTTTATTTTGGAATTATTGCTTTTCATTCCCCCCCCCAAAAAAAAAAACATTGAGCCAAAAGATCCAGGAAAACTTAAATACACCTGGCATTTTTTAAGAAAAAAAAACCTGAGAAAAAAGGGTTGGGGCAACATTTTCAAATCAGCATAATGACATACAAAACACTCGAACCTAACAAACACCATCATATGAGGCACACCGCCTATCAGTGTTTAGATTAGTCCAGATCTGGTGAAATTCCACGGGACTTGTTTCAGTGTTTCATGGTTAGGTCTAAATCTAGACAGTCTAGCACACTATACTGTTCTGTTTAGTAAAAAAAGCAACTGAAAAACAAAGAGAGGTGAAGCGACCGTAACAAATACAAAACATAAAAAAAGAAAACAATGCAATTCATTTTTATTTTTATTATTTTAAATAAGAATGCACCTCAGCACTCAATGTTCAAACAAGCTCTCATAGCAGTGTCTTTAAATAGATCATCAACAACTTCAAGAACAGAAGCCAAAGTGAGGCCAAAAAGCAAAATGTTCTCCAGAAGTCTCTTCTCTTGCGGTGTGCAGAGCTGCTGAACATTTTGGGAATAAAAAAAAAATGAATCAAACTGCTTGCATTCTGCTCCGGCGGCACTGCGCTACTGCGGGACGGTGAGGTTCGCTCTCTTTGGTGGAGGCGGTGGCATGAGCTTAGAGTCGACTGGGTGTTTGCGGGACTGCGCTTGGGCGCACCGGTCCAAAAACTCAAAGAGAATTTCCTTTGTGACGGGATGCTGGATACTGTTGCACACAGCTGTCAGGACGACACGAGACAAAGTGAGAACAACCAATAGATGCTGGACTTTCAGCAGAGTTGGGCTGCAAGCTAAGAATATCTCAACAGGTGAAGTTATCAACTTGTTTATGGCTAGCTATTTGAATAATAACATTCGGATTAATGGTGCACACATTTTAAAGCAGGGGTGGGCAAATCTGGCTGCTTACAGTACATTTACACAACAGCGACTGAACTAAAAATGCATTTTTTTTTTTTTTAAGTTTTGCATACAGATAACAATGTTTTCAAAATGATTCCCATCAACATGAACCTTCGAAAATGACTAAAATGCTGTATTATGCAGGTCAGCCTCGTAGTTGGCAATGTCAATTTGTAAAGAAACGCCACACATATATGCATTCCTACAGACTGAACATGTAACTAGAGATGCTCCGATCCGCCTTTTTCGCCTCCGATACCGATATTTATAGTCTTTTCTACGCCCGTGTTTTGTTCTCACAGACACCCGGTAGCAAGTAACAAAAATCTCGGATTTGGATCGGCCTTGTCTGACCGATACCCGATTTGAGAAAAATGGCACTATCGGAGCCGATACCCGATATGAATATCGGATCGGCGCATCCCTACATGTAATATGTACCCCACCCCCAAGATAAACATTCCTTCAAATTTTTATCTCCAACCTTAATAAAACGCACCTGGACAAGCTATTCAAAGTCTCCAGAAAGAATTTAAAGAAAAAAATTACAGCTGCATCATTCAAACCAAACAGCATTCTTGATTTTTTTCATGTCTTTTTATTTATAATGAAAGTAGTCAGATGAAGAAAAGTTCCAGGCAGGTGAGTTTGATCAGGGTTGGATCTCAAAGGCCAGAGTTGCCCAGCCCTGCTTTAAGGTAATGTTATGCACAATGAAAATACATGTAAAAATGCTTTTAGCCTTAGGAGTTTGCTTTTCATCTAGTCAACTAAACAGAATCTAATACCGACCCTGGCTTTAGTATAGCACATGTGAATCCTTACCCATGGCTGTGTCATATGAGTTGGGGAAGCTCTTGTCCGTCCTCTGTCGCATGAACACCCAGGTGTTATTGACGAACGTGCACTCAATTATTTTATTATCATACTGCTTCAGGTCCTTTGTTATCTGGAGTGCAAAAGAATAATAGGGTATCAATCACTAGCGAGAATTTAAAGAAAGAAATTACAGCTGCATCATTCAAACCAAACAGCATTCTTGTAAACATGTACAAACCACTTTGTTGAATAGATTTTTTTATTGTATTATTTGGGATTTTTTTTCATGTCTTTTTATTTATAATGAAAGTAGTCAGATGAAGAAAACAGATCAATATATCAGCAAAGCTGATTAAGATCATGTTGTCTGAAAACCACCAATTAACACGGGTGTCCAATCCTGTCCTGCAGAGTTTAGCTCCAACCCCAATTAAACACACCTGAAGCAGCTAATCAAGTTCTTCAGGGTTACTAGAATCTTTCAGGCAGGTGTGTTGGGTTATGTTTGAGCTGAACTCTGCGGGGTTTGTTGGACCTCCATGTGCAGAAGAGTTCATTCCTTCTTGTATCGGTTACAAAATCTTCTGACAACTTTGTCAACCTGGTTTTCAACCATTTTTGAAAATTTCGAGTTAATGTTCTGTAAAATAATTTCATAATTTTTCAGCAGTTTTCATCATTAAATTATATTATGTCTTGGCATGTTTTACACCGGATGCCCTTCCTGCCGCAACACAGCCCTGAGAGTGCACTAACTCCCAGTGCTGGGACACACTCACTCACTACGGCCAATTTACTTTGTCCAATTCACCTATTCTGCATTGTGGGGGAAACCGGAGCACCCGGAGGAAACCCACGCAGACTCGGGGAGAACATGCAAACTCCACACAGAAAGGCATCCTGGCTTATATATACAGTGGGTACGGAAAGTATTCAGACCCCCTTAGAAAAAAAATTAACTTAAATGATTTTAGCAAATGGCTGCAATATAACAAAGAGTGAAAAATTTAAGGGGGTCTGAATACTTTCCGTACCCACTGTATATAGTTTGTTTTTATATGTCCCCAGTGTCGGGACATGAAACGGGCGGGATACGAACCAAAATCTCTCCGTTAAATGTGCCTGGAGCTTGTGTGCTAACCACTAGTCTGTGGTTCAGACAAATTGTTGGTACTTTTTGTAGGTTGTAAAGTAACTGCCAGTGCGTAATGTGTAATTACAGCCACAACACAGATGTCTCAATACATGACAGTTTCACAAAGGCCTTAAGAAAACAGGAGTGTGTTTGGCCCAAGTAAGCGAGAGAAAGAAATATCTCAACGATAAAGAGACTGGATCCTCGCTAAACCGTGGCAGGTTGGTGTGTGGGGGAGGAAGTGAGCTGGCGGTGAAGCCGCCCCCTTCTGGGCCTATTGGCATGATGGGATGAGTAAATACCCTCACCATCCAACAGTGAAGGGCATCTGCGAGCACAGAGGGGAAGCTGAACATTTCAGGACTGACATACACACACGATAATATTCCAAGGATTAATGAACCTTTGGTGGTTCGGTACCTTTCCTCGCAAAAATACAACCACAGCGTCTATGTACATACAGCGTGGCTGTAGCTGAGAGAACGCTAACACACTAGGGTTGGGTATCGTTTGGGTTTTTTCGATACCGGTGCCAAATCGATACTTTTAAAATGGTTCCGGTGCCTGAACGGAGCTTGAACCGATACTTATAAAAAAATAAAAAATAAAACAAAAATTCCCCCCAAAAATGATGGATCCAAAGATTCTGCGCACATGCTTTTCACACCCCACACAGGCACGACCGTGGCAGAGATCCTGGGATGTTGTTCGGCTTTCGTCTGGCACGGTACATGATGCTCTTGTTAGTTTTGGATCGGACCGTCATGACACTCCGGTCACCTTCTTGAAGCCCTGGCAGCCATTTACAAACACCACACGGTGCCTAAAGCAGCCAAATCCACTCCATTACAGCTAAAGCCTGCCAAACACCTTCTTAGTTTGTAATGATAATATGGCAGTCAACAATAAAAAAGTAAATCAATTTAATGAAAGTAACAGTCAGGGGCATAGCAGCCCCTCCAAAAACATTCTGGCAAATAATCATTGCATTTTAAGAGTGCAAAGAAAACACTGCAAACAGACACAAAATGGTAAGCGACAACCCTACTATGGCTCCTGCCTATTACCAACATCCGCCTTTCAGCAAATCAGGTGTGACTATCATGTGATTATTATTCATGGAGCATTCAAGCATTTTCAGATGATTCATATACACCAACCAAATTTTGCAACGAGAACGCTGAAAAATAATCTCTCTATGCGCGATGATATCATCTTGGATGTGACATTTCATCTCGGATGTAATAAGCGACGTACGAAGAACGGGCCCCAGGTCGATTAGTGATGTTGACTATTTTTGCATTCTGTCCCATTCAGATAAAAGCGCTCTGTCTTGGTGAAATGGAATGATTTGGGAAGCTCTACATCAGTCTTGACTCGGACTCATGAACAAAAGTCTCTATGTAACAAGTAGAAATGGCTATTTTCTTGAAATTCTGTTTTCTTTGTGGTGAAAGAAGGTTCTTCAGATTATAAACAGCTAAGAAAGAGATGGTTCTTTGACTGAATGGTTCTTTGTGGAACCAAAAATGGTTCTTCTATGGCATCTCTGTGAAGAACCTTTTAAGCACCTTTAGTTTTAAGAGTGCATGTACATTATGTGAGCTATGATTATTCAGCAATTGTGTTTAATTTCCAGCCATTAGTACATTCCTGCATCTTGATTGATTGAGTGGAGCAGTGGCTCGTCACTAATGTGGCCTCTTTATTGCCTACAGTCCACTGCAGCACTTCAGCACAATGACAACAACTGCTTTCCTGTCCTCGTCTATAAAAACTCCATGTCTATCTGTGGAAATTGCACCACATAATTATTTGCTAAATAAACAGAATCATTTTATAAACATAGTCAGCAGCATATCATATGTGGTTTCGAGTGAAAGAAAACAATTACCAGTTACCATAGTTACCCATTAATTTACTACTGAGTGTGTGTTTCAGAAAACTAGCCTAAATGTTGTTTAGTGGGTTTCTTGCCAACTAAAGGGGAAAAAAAAAACTATTTCCAAAAGAGAAGTCAGACTTGGATTCATGACAAAATAGATTTGTGAACACAGACAGCAACTCCAAAAGGCATGTCAGCCTTACAAAATAGTGCTCTTCATGTGAAGCGTATGGGGGACGTAACGCACAACTGATTCCAATAGAGTTTGCATTAACATGCTGCTAAGATAATTCTGTATTTAAAAAATGCAAAATTTGGGTAAAATAATTCACAACATTTCTGCACTAATGTATTTATAATCAGTGTTTCTCTCACTCCATCTTCTATCTTTTTGTTAATTTATTAATTATTTTATTCAGGGACAATATACATGAATAATACAGAATCAGTGTAAAATGTGCTGGATTTAACTAGGATAATTAAACAAGATAATATGTAGTTAAAATATTAATGCAAAATTATTACACTAAAATCCTTATAAATATTCATAATTTTGATTTGACAACCAAATGTTTTCATTTCTAGAGAAACCACAACAATTGTTTTTTTTTCTTCTGGTTTTAAGTTGTCAAGATCTATGTCAGTTATCGTCTAGTTTCGTCTTAAGGCAAATTATAACTGACTAACCCGTACTTCTTCTCAATGGTTTGTTACAATCGCTTCTTGTAGCAGCTCTTGTGTACCTCCTTGTTATTTGATTTATGAATATGGGTGGAACAAAACTCTTAAGAATCTTAAAAACAACACTAAATCATCTGTTCCCAGTGCAAAAAAAAAAAACTATGTGGCTTTGTGTCTAATACCTTAATAGCTGATTTCAACAGGCTTAGGAATAGACTTAATGAACTACTTAATGAGTTGATTTTATGAAATTCATGCAAGTTCGATCAGCCTGTAATTACTTTTTTTTTTTTACTTTTACTTTTTAGTGTGATTTTGAATCCAGCCCTCAGTGGGTTGATGGTTTTGGCTTTCACTGACCATTGGATCACACTTTATTTTGATAGTCCACTTTAGACATTCTACTAACAGTGAGTAACTTTGCAACTACATGTGAACTAGCAGTCATTAGAGGATTAGTAGACTGTCTGCTTAATATCTGCTAACACTTTACTTTGATGGGTCCACAACTTACAACATACTGACTATAAGAAACTTTGCAAGTATATGTCAACTTATTCTACTAACACTAAACCTAACAGTCTACTCAGAGTTTGTAGACATGCAGGTGCAAATTAATGAGAATTAGATGACATTTATAGTTGCAAAGTTACTTATGGTTATTAGAATGTCTAATAAAAATAAACTGTAACCGACCATTGTCACATCATTTTGTTCTCAACAAATTACACAATGTATATAAGCAAAAATTTTCAACTTGAATATTTCATTCATTGAGATCCTACGTGTGATTTAAGGGCAGGGTATGTGATTTGGTTCAAAAACATTTTTTTGTTATGCTGGTTGAAAGTATTTTCACATCCCAAAAGCAATCACTAATTGAGTGGTGTAAATGTATTTATATAGTCTGTGGAAGGGTAGGACCATAAAATGTTCGTCCAATCATATCCCTCGGTCCGAACATTACGACACGCTATCCAACCTGCCTGTCCAATCCAATCTCATGGCAATTCGTACGTATTTTACGAGGTGGCTAATTTGTAAGATTTTTGCTAAATCGTACATTTTTAATGAGTTCCCCAATTTGAATGAATTCGTATGAATGACCTACCCCTAAACCTACCCATCACTGGGGTCTAAACAAATCGTACTAAATCATACATCGCACAATATCGAGGTCGACCGAGTTTGTATAAGTGAGGCCGCAAGAATTCATACAAATTTAGCCACCATCTAAAATACGTACGAATGGGTCGTGAGATAGCACTGACCTGTCAATGTATGTATTCGCTAGGGGTGTAACGATACACGTATTCGAATTGAACCATTCGGTACGAGGCTTTCGGTTCGGTACGCATTACAAACCGAACGATTCGTTGGACTAATCCTATTACATTTGGAAAATAAAAGAGCTTAAAGTGTGTGAAATATAATGTTCTCAGTGCCACTGCGCTCAACAAGGCAGCCCAAATGACATAACAGGCAATGTGGTGCGTCGAAAGACGATGATCTTGTATCGACGATAGCCAGAGATATTGTCAAAAACATAAATTATTGGCAATATTAAGATGATTTGGCATTTTCAATGAATGTAGCCCTGTTACATTCTTATTTTTATTAGGCCTATTATTATTAAGTTACTTTTATTATAAAATGTTATTATTAAATTAAAATTACAATTAATTTGCCCTGCAATATTACCGCATAACTGACGCGCTGCGAGGATTACAAAAGATAAGGCTATTTGCTCCTCAATTAAAACGTTTTAAAAAAGGTCTTTTAAAACAGGTCTATTATACAATTAATTATAGGCCTATAATTAAAATATTAACACTGCAGTCATCAATAAAAATCAATGAAATAAAAAGCTTTATTTAGCCTATTTAAAGCGCCGACTTTCAAAAACAACCTGTTTAACACCAAATACGTTTTTTCTCATTTTTTTTTTTTTTACTATGTACGGGCCACAAGAGAAATATTAAGGGAATAAATGAAAACAGTTAGCTATATACCGTTATCAGCATATGTTGAAGTAGATTCGTCTCTCGTCGTCTCTTGAGAGAATATGCGGCGTCAGATGCCTCGCCATCATGTTTTAAAACATAAATATTTCCAACATTGCGACGAAAGCAATTACCCACGCCCCCCCGTATCGAAAACGTGCCGAACCGTGACACCACTGTGTCGTATTGAACCGAACCGAGAATTTTGTGAACCGTTACACCCCTAGTATTTGCATACCTCCACTCACCCTGTTCGCGCAGACATGATACGTCAGCAGCACGTTCAATTGCGCTATTATAGACCGAGCGAGAATGGAAGGCGTTGTTGTTATTGTAATATTATGCACTTTGTACTGTAAAGTTTTCTCACCGGGGAATGAGACATGAGGTAATCTGACAGCATTGACGCGTCTCTCATCGTGTCGCTGGTTAGCCTCTGGTCTGTCTGGTCATGTGTTTTGGAGGAGGCGTGGCTTTGGAGAGTGATTTGCAGGAAGGGTGGGATCTTATGCTTTCAAAGCTAGCTCACTATTGCTAGCCTCTCTGAAATCACCTACCCTACCTTTAAGTGTTCCCAGTGTATAATAGCGTCCACACCAGAGTAGTGTTGCTTTTGTCAACGAAAATTATGACTAAATATCGTCGTCAACGAACCTTTATTACGTGACGAAAACGAGACGAGACGAAAATGCTGGTCATGTGACGATGACTATAATTAAATGTATAATGCAATATCGTTGACGAATAAAAACAAATTCAAATATTGTGACAAAATTAATTTTGTAGGGTGCCACAAATTTGTTAAAATTTCCAAAGGGTGCCGCGACTAAAGAAAGGTTGGGAAACACTGATTTAGAAGACGAAAACCAAACAAAGTCTGACACAGAGAAAGGGACCGATGGCCGGCCAGCCGGGGTTCGTCTTTATTTAAATTTATGTGTGTGTACTTCTAACATGTTTGGTTGGTAAAATAAATGTTGTAAATTCAAATCAGAGCGTCTTCCGTGTCTGGAATGGATGTATTCTTGAGTCTATAAGGTAACAATAATATAATAAGATAACTAAAATACAATTTTCATTGACTAAAACTAGACTAAATGTCATCAGTTTTCGTCGACTAAAACTAGACTAAAATGCTCAGACTTTTAGTTGACTAAAAATTGACTAGACTAAAAAGAGTATGAACGTGACTAAAACTAATAAAAACTAAAATGACAGTTTCACACAAAGACTAGACTAAAACTAAAATTAAAACAGGCCGCCAAAAACAACACTAGACCAGAGGACGATAACATTCTGTTTATTATAAGTGCGCGTTGCTGTTATGTGGCTTGACGCTTTAAATGCTTGAGTAAAATGGATTCTCATTAGCTGTCGATGCTTTTACAGTTCATCAGCTGGGTAAAAAAAAACTTTTGAAAGTGATTCCAATGATATTATTCCTCTGTGCTGTTTTTGTTATAGTTGTGGTGTAGCCTCCAGAAACCATAACATGATCTTTAATGTTATCATTATAGTTATCATCCTTGGTGTCAACGGGCTTTTACAAGTTGTTTGTGTCCAAATAGTCATACAACATGTTCCATCTTATAATATGTTTTATTGTTGTGGCCCATCGAGTGCACACCTCCTGTAGGATTCCTCAAACTGCTATCTAGGCAGGCCGATCGCTGGGTCTCAGAACGGAGCTCTTGTGTGACACAACGTTCACCTGTCTGACTCAATTAATTAAAAGCACATCATGTAAAGAGCGCTTGACAATGACAGGACTATCTTTAGCGGCGTCTGTGTTTGCAGTCAATCAGACAGAGGGAACGCTGACAGAAGGAATTATCAGAGATGTGAACCAATGTTTCTCTCACCTTCATTTGTGCAAAGGGCATGTCATAGCTCCCCACGAACAGGAGACCCACCGTCTGCGGGATCAGTCTGGAGAAAGAGCGAAAATAAAGATTTAAATTAATTTTCACATCCGGACAAGCAAGCATTGTGCTATTCCCCAAGACAGCGGAAGTCAGGGAAATAATAGCAGCTCTGCTATGGAGGATGTCCTCCGATACTGCCGTGTAATTATTCTGGGCTTCATAATAAGTGCCTGTAAGACTTTCACAGTCAGGATGAGGTTCCCAAATACAACGACACCAAGGGCTTTGTGTTCGGAATGTTCGGAAGGGAGGGTTTTTAAGGACAAGGATCAAGGATTTTAAAATCACTATTAAAATTAATTTTGAAAAAGATGCTGGTAAATGAAGCACTGGCCTGTCTGGCTCACTGAAATAAATGCACTAAACACGGCACATAAATGTATATGTAATATACACAATATGGTTATATTTTAAAAGAAGTATCTTGTGCGTATGCATTATGCATTTATTTGAGGAAGTACAGTAAAAATTTAAATATTGAGAAATATAATTACACATTAAAATAACTGTTTTCTATTGAATATGTTGTCAAATATAACTTATTGCTGTGATCAAAGCTGTATTTTCAGCATCATTACTCCAGTCTTCAGTGTCACATGATCGTCAGAAATCATTCTAATATGCTGATTTTACTTTTACACAAAGACTGGTAGGTCTATTAGTAATATCTGTTGACAAAATGAACAAACTTTTCTTTTGGTATCTTCATTTTTAAGGCCCTATTTGGTTCATTTCCAGAGATATTAGGATCTAAATATTGCTCCAAGAGTAAACTGCTACATTGTACAAATTTTCAGTGGCCAAAAAATAAATGCAGGTCACTTTGCATTCAGCATTCAGAAGAACAAATAATGCTGAACCTAGAAACACATCTCATTTCTGTATCTGTCATCTTTCTAAAGTCCTTTTTACCCTCCTGTAACTTGGCTCCAAATCTCAGGTTAAAATTGTCATTTTGACCCTCCTCTACAAAATAGATCACTCTGTAAATATACATCCATGACATGTAATATTTTGGGTTTCATCACTATTTATGCTCGTCTTTCCTCAGAAAAAAGGTTTCTGAAATTCGGTTGATTTGACATGGACATACCCTATTATCAATACAGGATTTGTTGAATAGAAAGTTCAAAAGAACAGCATTTATTTGAAACTGAAATCTTTTGTAACATTATAAATGTCTTTACTGTCACTTTGGATCACTTCAATGTTGTTTCTGAATGAAAGTATTAATTTCTTTTGAAACAAACAAACACAAACCTTTTGAACGGTAGTAGGTGAGAATAATAACATACAGCTTAATAAACACTACTATATTTACTGTATATTAACAGTTTGCCTCCCTGACCAATATCCAACTTGGACTGGAAGATCAATTGTTTGATTCGGCATGTAATATCTTTGAATTATCGTTATTTGGGGGCTTTTCTCAGCAAATACTGCTGTAGCAAAAATATTAATTAACCCTTCATATTGTCATAAATTCCGTTAAAACTTTAATTATACTTTTAATGGATCAAAAGCCATAATAAAAATCAACCTGACTTGAAATATGCAATGATCACATCACACTGGAAATCCAGTCATATTAATTTCGACTGAAAAAGAAATAATCAGTGATCACTGCAAAGGCTTCCTAACAAACAGCCCTCTCCTCTCTATGATGGTTCCAGCTGTTCACACGTACACGCCCACTGAAATGTGTCACCATCCAAAATAGTAGTAAATCACCGGGGAGGAGGCCGGATCCGAACCCTGACACTGAGGGCTAAAGAACACCCTGCCACTCGAGCTAATGGCGCTGTATATTTGGAGCCTCTCGGAACACGATGACGGTGTTCAGCCTCGGTTACTGTGCGTCCTGTGCGCTTGTTTTATCACTTCGAAAGCAGATATTTTTGTCAAATAATGAAACCAACGTAACTGTTTACACACCCACGTGATTCATTTCAGTGTGGACCAGATCTCAGCATCAGTTGTGAGCTATATGAGCTACTGGTGTTTGGGACTAACACCGAGACATCTCTTTAGCAGCAGTCATTACTGTTTCCATAATTGGTATAGCAATGTGCGAACTGCTGAAACGTGCATTTCTAATTAAGACCATCAAGCTCAACCATCTGTTGACTGCTCAAAAATTCATTTAGGAGTATCTGGACCTCTTTATTCATTTGATGACATTGTTTCAGAGGAGATTCTGTGAAATGTATTCTCGTGAAACACTGTCGTGAACAGACTGGATGACGCTGGATGGCTACATGTCAAACGCAATCTGTGAAACCTGCGGATCAAATCGTGAAGCCGCGTGCGTTTACACTGTCAGTGATTGAATGGTTACCACGGTTACCAATCTCTGCGCTGTCATTGGTAGACGCTGTAGTGTGTCACTGCTCATTTGCATAAGAGTGCCCTTGATAAAGAAAAGGAAAAACTTAAAAAGCCTAATTTAAAAAAAAATTTACTCTATACAATTTTTTTTTTACTTTTATGAGCTGTAAGCTCTAATCATCAAAATTAAAACAAAACAACTTTTGAAATATTTTATTTTACATGTAATGAATCTAGAATATATGACACTTTTTGAAATAAGTTACAAAAGTTTTCACGATATTCAAATTTTTTGAGATGCACCTGTAAATTTTTAAGAAACAATACTAGAAGAATATGGCAACCTACTTAAGGTTTTCTTTTCAAGAGTTTAATTTTTGTAATGAGGATGTTTTTCCTCATTATGATATCAAAACAGTCGTGTCATCTTGAAATTCGGTTAGAAATTTTTTGAAAAAAAAAAAAAAAAAGATTTTCTTTCGTAGTATTTTTGTCTTGTTTTCTAGTATAAATATCTACAAATTCTTGAATCAGGATGCATTTACTTGACAAGTAAAATGACTTAAGATATTGTCTTGTTTTCTGAAAAAAAAAAATCAAAAAATCAAAATTTTGTTAGTTTTTGCTTAAAACAAGCAAAAATATCTTGCCCCATTGGCAGATATTTTTGCTTGTTTTAAGCAAAAACTAACAAAATTTGGATATTTGTTTTTCTTACTTGAATGCTTATGTTTGTATGTAAAATGAAAAAAGTAGGAAATACACTTGTTTTTTTTATATTTGTTTATTTTTTGCATCAGTTCTTATAACAACAAAGATAAAATTTAAAAAAGCTATATTGTGATTATTAATCTAGTAATGATTATTAAGAAAAGAAGTGGGGGGAAAAGATGCAACGTTGCTAGGTCAGAAAATTTTAAATCAGTTTTTATCTAAATTTACTTTGCTAACTCCATCAACTTCAAACAGGTTTAGCTCAGTCATTTTTCGCCTGATTCTAACAAATCATACATCATTTTGAAGGGTTTTTAATAGAGAAAATTGTTTTGTTTTTTTTGCAGTGAAGTTAAAAGTCACTGTATGCATGAACTGCATTTTATATGTATTTTTTTGGGGGGGATCAATTTTTTATTGATTGTACATATATAGGGTCATATACAATTATCCAAAATCATCTTCACCATAAACAGAACAAACTGACCCTCTGAACCCCCCCCAGCGGTCCAGGCCACATTACAATACATTGCAATCAAATCAAATTACATAAATAATATCACAATAAAATAAAATAATAAAAATAAGTAAATACAAAAATAAATAAATACAGATACAGTCTGCAACATAAACTCAGGATAAGTAGAATAGCACCTAGATCATCAGAGGTTTGAAAAACCAAATTATACCCCATATTTTATATGTATTTTTGAATAAATCATTGGACCTGGACAAAAGAAAAACAGCCCGAATTACCAAGCAGAACGTAAAATGGCCAGGTCAGCCAAAAAAACTCAGTCAAGTATGGTCTTCAACGCGTCTGATTGTGTTTGTCTTGCGTTGGGAATAGGACACTTGTCAGAGAAGGGGAAAATGCAGGGTGGCCAAGCTGAAAATGGGAAGATAGTTCAACTTTTAACAAGTCCAGAGCTCCAAAGGTGAGTGTTAGAGAAGTCCAGATGTCTTGTCATAGAAAGCCTCTGGAAGAGGGCAGCTGAAAATCACTTGGTACTAAAAGTTTGAATGGTTGTGAATCAAATCATCTCTGACCATCAAATGTGAATCAAATCATCTCTGGTCAATGACACATGGAAAAAGATAATCTGCATGTTTTGCAGTGTGTGGTTTAACAGTCAGGCAGAGTTTTCTCTTCACAAGCACTCACTCTCTCTCTCTATTGAAACTGAACTGGGAACTAGCAGCTTTTATAATGTAGGTGTTCAAGGTCAGTGGAGATGTGTCCAAACAGACTCACGCCTGTAGTATGAATTCAGAAAGATTCTCTAATCCAGTTTCTGAGGTTTAGCTTCTTTTACACTACAGAGTCTGTACATTCAACAGGAGGAGGTTTGATTTTTACTTTACCCTTTTAGGTTTCAAAGCAACAAAGCCTTTTAACAAAAATGTTACTGGACTATTGAGACGCGTTCTGAAAGAATTCATTCCACTGCTTTAACACATGGAGCATGTTTTGCAGAGCAGCCCGACTAATGAAATGTTTAACTGTTTTCAAACCGCACAAATTTGAAGTACAATTCATTTCCTTAAAAATTGCACCAAATGAACCCAAGGTCTTCTCATTACCGCTCTTCAGTGTCATCTATGCAAAGAGTCAGGGGTTCTTTTATTATTTTACCCATCTCATTTCAAAGCTCTCGGCAAATAAAGAGGGCATGGTGAGAGGGAAAAACACTTGCAGATAAAGAGCGCGCGCGAGAGAGAGAGCTGTGTGGGAGGAGAGTGGAGATGTCATCTTTCTCTGTTTCCTGGCAGGGAAGTAACCCCGCTAATAACCTCAGCCACTCGCTGACACATCTGCTGTAGAAAAGCCAGGACTCTATGATGCTTCGATGACACACACTGCCCATCGGCTTTCAGAAAATATATATTTAACATACCCACTGGACATTTTTTGCCTCATCAAATCGGAATAAAAAAAAAAAGGCTTTAGAATATTGAAAC